CCCTATGGGGGCATTTTCTCAATCGAGGATTCTTTCTCTCAGATGACTCTATCTCATATCAAGTTGATACAAAAGCAGAACACTACCATGAGCACAGTCAGTTTTTCAAATATTTAAAGCACTACTTGGAATCCATTTGTAACTGTCTAAATAGTTCCTGAGGTAGAAAAGTGGAGTTTAGGGGTTTCAAATGGTTTTCCTTCCATTTCTTTATTTATTTGGTGTGTGAGAACTGGGGGAGTCAGACCCATGGAGATCCCAGTACAACCTGTAAGAAGAATTCTCTTTCCAACAGCTGCGTCCTGTGGATGAAAACTCCTGAGAGGCTGTGCCTGGAGACACTGATTGACTGGTGAGAAGGTCAGGCAGTACTGTGGGGACATCGGAAAGCTCCAGGTCCGGGGGCTAATTACCTTATCTTGCTCTAGCTTTGGCTCCCAGGAACAGCCTTTCCTTGCCCTCCTGAGTGTAGTGACTAGTATCCTGTGACTGAAAAATAAAACAGTTGGAATCTGTTAAGAGACCCACTAGCTTCAACCAATCCAAAAGCTAAGACAGTCATACAGCATGGTAGGCTTATGTAAAAATTTCCCCTATCTTTTGGTAACCGTCTCTCTGATTTATCTACCAATGTGTTTTAAACTTGCCTTGATTTTTGTCTTTCTTTGTTCTATAAATGGTAAAACTGTAAAACCGCTTCTACATTGGAACATAGAATTTAGGGTAATCTATGTCTCTGTTCCCAAGCCATGATCACTCAAAACGGCTCCAGAATGAACTCTTATTTCCCTTAAAGTGAAAGCGGTGGGTTTTGTGTTGACAGTCCCAAAGATTATACTCCGGTCTTCAGCTTGGCAGCAGGCACCTTTACCTACAGCAGTGGTCGTGACTTTCCTAATGCCCATGACCCTTTAACACATGGTGTTTTCCTCATGATGTGGTGATCAACGACCATACAATTATTTTCATTGCTATTTTATAACTGTAATTTTGCTACTGATATGAACTGTGATGTAAATATTTTTGGAGATAGAGGTTTGCCAAAGGGGTCGGGGCCCTAGGTTGAGAATTGCTGACCTAGAGGGTCATCTTGGCCCTGCCTAACCATCTCCCCAGCCAGTTTTAGGATTCTTGCTTTGTTTGGGGTGGGAGATGTAATTACTATCAGCTGCTTGGATAAAATTTTTATGATAATAATTTTGAAATTTTGAGACAATTATAATCATTTTTGCCATTATGTGTGTTTTCATTTAACACATGCTTTAATATTCTGGAGAATAACTCAGCCCATCAAATGTCTGTCTTGAGAGTACAAAACCCTTTGTTCAGTATGAGTTTTGAGGGTTCTATATGTCTTTTTTGGTCCATAAGACCATATCGAGAAACAATATTTACACTACTGTTACTTAGTGTAGTTTTTTTTTATGTCTCTGTGTGTATCTTGTATCTGTTAGTCTGTTATTTTGTTCTTTGTTTGTTTGTTTGAGACAGGGTCTCACTCTGTAGCTTGAGCTACCCTAAAACTCACTATGTAGCCCAGGCTGTCCTGGAGCTCACAATAATCCTCAGCCTCCCAAGAAAGTGCCATCTGCTCAGCATCTAATGTGTGCTTTTGTTTCAAGTGATTTTATTCTTTTTTTTTTTTTGTTCTACTTATATATTTTGAGATAAGTTCTCTATATGTAGTCTTGGTCTGAAAGGCATGCACCACTACTTCTGGCTCTTCATGCTTCTAATGTTGAAAGAGTACAAAATCCTGATAGAGAAAAGAGGCAATAAGCCATAAAATAAATCATCAAGTTGGTATTTACAGCATCCAGCAGAACTCAGCTAAGGCGTCCCTGTCTAAACTATTATGCTGGAGTCACTGTGAGTGGTTTTAAGGCAGATTGTCCATGCTATCCTCTCCATGGACTTATTGTCAAGTCTTTTATGCCTATTATTTTATGTTATTCTATTTGTTACATTATTATTATTATTATTATTACTTGAATTTTCAAGACAGGGTTTCTCTGTATAACCCTGGCTATCCTGGAACTCACTCTGTAGACCAGGCTGGCCTCAAACTCAAATATCCGCCTGCCTCTGCCTACTAAGTGCTGTGATTAAAGGCATTCTCCACCACTGCTTGACTTATTTTTATTCGTTTTTAGCACCCATAACCTAAAAATAAGGAATCCAGAAAGCAATAGCATCTAAATGAACCTGGAATGGAATGGTATCAGACTGTTCCTTTCCTTAGCTCATCTATGTCATTGTAACTGGAAAATACAAAACAAAAAACAAGGTTACCCAGTGCTCAGTAAATAAAAGCAGAAAACACACATGGAACAAAGAAGTCTTGAGGAGGTACAGAACATTCTATCTCAGTTAGAGAAAAATAGTAGGAGATGCTGGGCAGAAGGAGCCGGCATTGAGACCCAGTGTAGCCTGCATCTTCAGCCGCCTAGCCAAGCTGGCTCCAAGCTGGGGTGTGTCATTGTTGGGATGTGATTTTCAAGCTTTCCCCGAGGTATTGCAAATTCACACACTTTCCAAGTCTAACTATTTCACAGAGTCAGCTCCTTTGCTAGCTCATGTTTAAGACATGTGCTTGAGAGAAGTCTTAAATCCTCTCTAGAAACTAGCCAATAAAGATGCAAAGCAATGTGTCAAAAATAAAAACAAAACAGCTAAAATGAAAGAGAACAACCCACTGCGGAGGTCTGGTTTGCTCAGTCTGACACATAAAGGGGTGTGGCAGTCCTGAAGGTTCAGTGGTACTAGGCAGTTTTGTGTGCACCATCATTTTGGTTTATGTGATATGGTTCTACTGAGATAGCAGTGAAATCACATGGTTCTGGTCATCTTGACTATGTCACTAGCCACGCTGTTGACAAGGAAACATGGTTTCTTTTTGTTCATCGTGAACCAAGCTCCATGATAAAATGAACCCATTTTTTTTTTTTTTTTTTAATCAGGGCACAAGTACCCGTGGGATCCAGTCATCTCACAGATTGAGGACAGTCACCCGGTTTCCTTTAAAAAGAAAGCCCAGACTGGCCTTGAACTCACATCAGCCCTCTGTCTCAGCCTCCCAAGCTCTAGAATTACAGACGTGGATTATGTTTTAACTACTAAATTGTAAGGAATTGGTACATTATTCTTGCCAAGAACGAGAACGGTGCTTTCTTGGATAGCTCCTGAGAATAGTAAACTCAGCAAAGGGGGACGAACAGCTAGGGACAGGATGCTGCTCTGAGTTGCAGGGCAGTGGGGTGAGAATCGTGTATGGTAAAAGCAGTCCCACCAATGCTGGAAGTCACTTCCCAGAGTGAGTGCTCAAAGGGCTAGGTGAGGTTTAAACTCAAATTTCTTTTTATTTTAGTGAGAAACCCCAAATGACCACAAAATTCATATAGTTTTGTGAATTTCTTGGTGTGTGTGAATGTGTGAGTGTGTGTGTGTGTGTGTGTGTGTGTGTGTAAAACATGGTCGCACAGCAGTGGATAATCCTGTTGTCCTACCTCAAGCAAATTACTCCTTCCTCTCCTCTGACCCATTTCCATGTTTCAGTAGAGACCCCAGTCTGGCTCAGATCTGGAGAAAGTGTCTGTAGACCTGGTCTCCACACTATCTAAGGCTCTTATCTGCGCAGTGGCACAGTTTCTCCTATCTGCACAGAATTCCAGGCATGTGGTTCCTTTGACCTATATCCCTGTAGGGGATATGCTCAGACCAGCACACTAAAAAGATGTTGAGGGTTTGGGGTACAGTTTGGTGTAAGTTACTGGTCTCAATCCCCAATTGAAAATAAAAGCAAATAAAAGACTGTTAAATGAAAAAAAAAATATTCCTTTGTATCTTTGAAATGATCACGTGTTTTTGACCTTTGTTTTATGAATGGTGTGCATTGAATTTATCAGTTTTTTTATTTTGAAAGTTTTGTTTAACCACTCCCACCCCAATCCCAGGAAGAAGAGGCAAGTTGGGAATTTCCTCATTCATTGCAAAGACCAATCAATGATAGAGGAGAAGTAGGGAGTGGCCAGCAGGAGCAGCTGCAGAGGGAAACAACTGCTATGATTCCCCTGCTTACCCCCTCCCCACAACTACTTTTGAGGTAGTTAGCATGGTGCTAGTCTTGGTAGGAAATTGTTAGCTAATTCCTATCATTTTCAGACGTATTGTCCTGTACATTGATGTTAACCTCACTCTTCCATAGGAAAAGGTTGCTCCAGGGCTTTTAAATTCCACTATTTTGCTGATGTCACTCACTTGGAGCATGATTTTAAAATCCAGTCCTACAATCGGTGCCTTTTAATTGGATTGTTTAATTCATTTACAGTTAATGTTACTGGAATAGCTGAGTTTGTGCCATCATTTTTCCTCTCGGTTTTCTGCATCTCTCATATCTATTTTCCTTTTCAACTCCTTTTTAATAGTAAGTGAATATTTTCTAACGACTGTAGCATTCATATTTCATTAATGTATTCACTGCGTTTAAGCTTTTTGGGGGGTGGTTTCTCCATTTACAGTATACAAGTTCACTTATTGGGATCACCTTGTTTTATAATAATTTAACTCCAATCATATATAGGAAAGTAAGAGGACTACAAAGCTCTAATCTCTCTACTTTTGTAGATATTAATGCGATACACGTTGCATTTATCAGTTATAACTTAAAATTTATATTGCTACAATTAATTGCCTTAGTACCTGTCTTTGTCTTAGCCCACTACTGCTTTGCTCTGATGACGTCCATTGTACTGTCATTGGCAAATGTATCCCACACATTTATCAGTCCTGTGTTATATTCTCAATCATAAAGCTGCACTACAAATCATTTAAGAGGAGAAATGAGAAGAAACATGCATTACTATACTTTATTATAACTTTTATTAAGTTTTATATTAGCACACAAATTAATGAAGTTCATTATGGCATTTTCATATAATACACCCCTTCCCCATTGCCCCAATCCCCTCTGACACGTCTCCTCCCATCCCCCCAACCCACGTTTCCACTCTTACGTCACCTCCGATTATTTATAATAATGTCTATGTCTTTTGTTCACATTGATTTATTATCTGGAGCCACAACTTTCTATCTAAAAAACCACCTTTAGTCTTTCAGTTCTCCCAGCTCTCTCTCATTTTTCTCTCCGGTTTGGAAACAAGAGTCTCACCATGTAGTTCTGGCTAGTCTTGCAACTCGAGGCAATCCTCCTGTCTTCGCCTTCCAAGTGCTGGGATTACAGAGGAGGTCCTTCGTTCCCAATTGTGCAACCATTTAAAAGTAAGGAAGCGGGAAGAGGGGAATAAAGACGGACGGAAAGTATTCATCCGGCTCTTCCCGAGCTGGGAGAGGTGGCTGCCTGCACTCTGGACCAAGAGCTGCGAACAGCGGCATTGGTACAGATTCGCAAGCACGTTGCTCTGTGCTAGGCAGACGCACGGCTTCGGCTTGGCCTTTAAATGGTGAAAATAGGGTGGCCTCAGGCTTCTGCTCCTGACGTTTCCAAAACCTAACAAAAATCAGATTTCTGTCTTGAATGTATTCCCGAGAGCCCAACCGTGTCGGGGGTGTAGCTCAGTGGTAGAGCGCGTGCTTAGCATGCACGAGGCCCCGGGTTCAATCCCCGGCACCTCCAGAGTTTTCAGCTCCCGTGGCTTATTAGATTTTTTTTTCCCCCACAACTTCACTGTTTTCCTTGCTCAAACAGAAAGTCGAACTATTTCACAGAATATTGATTCCAGAAAGCAGCAAGCCGACTCTACAGCCGATGAGCTGGGTACCATTCTAAGACCATATTATCAGAACTAGAAGATGGAAAATATCAAGATGCAGCCAGGGATGGCGAGCTGTTCTCCCACTCCGAAATTGCAAGGTTCGAAGGTGATGTGACGTTCTACTTGCATTTCCGGGGGAAAAAAAGGATCAAAGGTTTAACTGGAGAATGGCACAGTTTCTCCAAAGCTTTTCTGCTGAGAGAGCTGTTCTCACCGACGAACACCAGCTTTGCTCTGTCCGCGAGTGAAGTTCATTCCACGGAAGACAAGGGTTCCCGGTTTGTTCTAAGATGATCCACGGGATCGATTCAACTGAGACAGTGGCGCCCTCTGTGGGAAGAGTGGCGTCCAGACCCTCGGGGAGAAATCGCAATCTGGACTTGCAGTCTTCAAAAAAATAAAATTGCATTTTAAATTGTAGTCCAGGACGATCGCTCACACATTAAAGTCTAAGAGGCATCAGTTTGAATGCTCTCAAAAGATTAAGAGGACAGACAATATGTATTTCTAGTCCTGAATAACCTTTCTCCTCCTGTCTTTGACTTTGTTTTCCCATTTTGTGGTATTAAGATGTTTATAATTTCGGAATCACTGTACCATAGTTGAATGAATTTTACATGAATATGTAAAATTCATTTTCTTTTTAATACAATTTTTTTAAAAGGGTTGCGGTAAAGATTGTGCTAACGTGTAATGTGAACGTTTGTTTCTTTGTATTCTGCTTGTAAAAACCTGTGCTTGGTGCTTGTTGCTTGCGTTCTCTCTAGCTAATATTCAGGAATGTTTGTATTAACGCTATTTTAAGCTGTGAAAGATTCTGTTTTGATTTAAAAGCTTTTGCAACCGTAATGGAAATGTGAGCTGAAGGATACTTCCAGAATTGGGAAAGCTCCTGCTTTTCAGGGCTATCAAACCATCGTACTGTGACGTCAGCAGGGAGTTTTCAAAGCAGAAAAGTTCCGAAAGACAATCATTCTCAGAACAGCGAGTCTTACTGTTGGAATGCGTTGCTCTGAAAGGAGGCTCAGCTGCGGCTGAGAAACCAATAGCAGGTTTTCTGTTCCCAGCGTGGACGGATTTGTATTCCTCTCTCTTCCTCGTTTCCAAAGTTGAGCTTCACAGGATCTCCTGTCACCAGTGTGTCAGGAGAAAATCGCCAACAATTCCAGGCAGGGGAATCCATCTGTCTGCGCGGTGAAAGCAGTATGATCAAAACAGGGGGACATTGCGCCATCATCATCGTTTCTCTGTATCCTGTTAGGGCTCTGAGAACATGGAATGGATTTCATTGGAGACACTTACCTCTGACATTTAAGGAAGAAGAGAAGAGGAGACGAAGGTCCAGAACTGGAGTGGAGCATGGCTCAGTGGTAGAGTTTGCCTAGTGACAGTGGGGTTCAGGGTTCCATTGCAGAGCTGTAAAGAAGAAAGGAAAAAAGTAAAAAATTTAGCCTGAGAAAGCCAAAGGAAATATAAGACAGAAATCCCAAATATATTATTGTGTATTTTTCTTTGTTTGTTTTTGAGACAGGGTCTTACTTTGTAGCCCTGGCTGTCCTGGAACTCACTCTGTAGACCTGGCTAACCCCAAATTCACAGAGATCCACCTGTCTCTGCCGCCCGAGTGCTGGGACTAAAGACATGTGCCCCCACACCCCGCTAAACTTTGGTCTTAACGAGACATACTTACCCCATCCTGCTGCTTTATTTTGAGATTGTCCTTCAACAAGCTCATCTTCTTGTTTTGCTTTCTCCAGGAGAAATAAAAGATTGAGAAGATTTGCTGTTTTAGTTAATTTATTTTATTGTATTCTGAACCACACATACTCTAGACAAGCGCCTAAGCTACAGTCTAGCTCAAGACTTAGAAAGTCTGGAAGGTAAGGTGCCCTGAGACCCTGGCTACCCTGTGCAAGGTGAAAGCCGTGTGGACATAAATGTCTATTAGACCATCCTCCAGCTCAAAATGTGGTGCTTTATCCTCTTTCAAAGACGTTTGATTTTTGCAGTTATGTATTTCTTTTTTTGCCCTATAAAGACACTGTCTTTCACATTTAACAAAAAGTGGGAGATTCTGGGTAACATAACCTAACACCCTGTAAGGCAACAACAACAACAAACTTCATGTTGTGTAGGTGTTTCCTTTGAATTGAAATACTGCTTCTAGAAGTATGGGGATTGATTGGTAAGACTTTAGAAGTAAACAACTTACAAGTCTCAGAAAGTTGAAAGTTACATGACTCTTGGGGTGAAGAGACCCTAACTGGCCAAGTTGCCTGAAGGCAGTGATGTGAGTCCCGGTCCCTGCTGGGGTGGGGTCTTCAGTGATCATGAGCCTGCTAGTAACTCCTCATGCAAAGACCTGTAAGTAACTTCAACAATCGCACAGGACCTAGACTTGGGTGGAATCGTTTCTTTGGTCTGTGGTTAGAGCCCTATCTGGAGTGAACAGATGTCTGTTCTTGTCCCCTCAGAAATGTCATGGAGAATTCCACCTTATTGATCTGTCAGTTTTAAAAACCAGCGCCAGCAAGTACAATCTTCTCCCTGACCCAGATGCACCAGAAGTTTCCTGAGTAGAGGAAGAGCGTGTGGTTGGTTTTGATCCTCTGTTGAACCCAGTTCTCCCCAACCTAAATGTACTCTACTGCTGAACTCCGAACCGAACCCGTGCTCTGACTTCTGGGATCAATGTGTAGTTTCTTAGAAGAAGCTGTATTTGGAGCTGATTTTACTGTTTCCCCCATGGATGAGTATTTCCAGAATGCTGCGATCGGTCTGAATATTGCCACAGAAAATGATTAATTCTCACAGTGTTGGTGTACCTTGGAGAAAGCAGAAAAGCAAATCAAAATTTTATTGTGAGGGAATATCTGGGAACATAGTTGAGTTGTGGGCTTTCTTCACACACAATACAGATATAATTTTCTTTTTGTTCCTACTTTCTAGTACACACATACACACACACACCCAGCTTATAGTTATACAGTGACACTTCTCCAGCCTTCCACTTCAGTAAAACCTGCAATTTCTGTTTCCTCTTATCTGTTGTACCAGACTCATAGTGGTGGCTGAAATGGTTAAACGGATACAGTGTTTCCAAGTTCAAAAGAGGCTCCGGGTGAAAATTTCACAGCACAGACAAATGAAGGAAAGAAGACACCCGCTAGACGTCTGTCCCAGAGAATGGACTCTTGGTATTTTGTTTGAAATTCCAAGGCAGAGTGGATCATCACTGTAAATTACAAGAGTTCTTGGAGGAAGTTCACTTTTAAAAAAAACAATTATGGATATAAGAAAGTGAACTCTTGCTCGCTCAGTCCCAAATGACAAGTTCAGTTTTCTTCGACCTTTTTCCTGCTCCTCTAGATAACTGTCACCCACAGGTATTTATGTATTTATTTAGCTATTTAGTTTTCTTCTTGAGACAATGTGCTGTCAAATAACCATGCCTACCTTGTACTGGCTGTGTGGCCAGCGTTCATCTTGAGTGCTTGCTTTCCGGACATGCTAAATGCCTATATTGAAGGCAGTCATCACCATGCAACACTTCACCTATTTAGATCAGCGTACACTCAGCTTTCTTCATGGCTTCCGTTACCTGTTCACAAAAGAAGTCAACACACAATACAAACCGTTCTTCAGAAGGCTACAGCATTTAGACCTTGTGCTGGTTATTATTATTATTATTTTTAAGTTGACAGAAAAGTAACTTAGGAAGCAGAAACCCTCAGTTAGGAAAACACCCCCATCAGTTTGGTCTGTAGGCAAGTCTGTGGGGGCAATGTCTTGATGAATGATTGATGGGCTGGGCCACCCCTGGGAAAATGGTCCTGGGTTATATAAGAAAGTAATCTAAGAGGCCACGGGGAGCAAGGCAGTAACTAGTTCCTACATGGTCTCTGCTTCTGTTTCTGCTTGAATTCTTGTCCTTGCTTCTTATTATGGTAGAGTCTAACTTCTAAAACGTAATAAAGCCACCTTTTCCTAAGTTGCTTTTGGTCTTGGTTTTATCGTAGCAGTGAGGACAGACCTCATGAGTCACAAAACCATGGTAGAGAGAAGGAGCGCTCTTGGGCGCGTGCGCACACACACACACACACACACACACACACACACACACACACACCACAGACTCTTTGTTTCCTGCAGCCAGAGTGATGGTTGTCAACTTGACCACATCTGGAATCAACTAAACCCCAAGCATCTGGCACTTCTGTAAGAGATTTCTTAATTGGATCATTTGAGACAGGAAGACACAGTCTAAATCCGAGCTGCTCTTGGTGACAGCCAAGGACAAGGAGGAAGGAAGCTTTGGCTTTTTGTCTGCTTATCTTCATCCTTGCTGGCAGGTTTATTTATTTTGTAGTTGAGACATTCCTTCGCTGGTATTAGAACCTACTTCTAGATTGCAATGCAGACCGAAGGCCAGCAGCTCTTCAGGAACGCTCTGAGACTCCGGCTCAGATTGTTACTGCTTAGCCATCGCATCTCATGGACTGAACAACTCACGGGTTCTAGAACTTCCCATCAGGAAATAGCTATTGTTTGACTACCCAGTCCACAGCCTGTCAGCTACTATAATATTTAATATGTATACACTCATTCTATCGATTCTGTGTCTATAATATCAACTGTATTATATAACAAATAGCCAGAAATTTGGTGGTGAGCTTTTCACTGGCTGACCACAGATCAAGAACAATATTCTTTTCTCCTCCTCTCCGTCCTCCTCCCTTTCCTCCTCCCCTCCCCTTCTTCCATCTCTAAAGTTGGTGTAGCTATGCTTAAGAACACATACTATAGGAAGTTTCAAAACACAAAGGGAGTTTATTTTAATCCTAAAACACATCCCAGAATGCAAAGGTGGTAGCTGATCAGAAAGGTTTCTGAATCATTCCCTGCCCATGAGTGGTTATAGTTCAGTGGCAGAGCACAAGCTTAGCTCACTCAAGGATCTGGATACAACTCTAATCTGTTATTGTTTTCCCTTCATTTGACTTCCAGCTTCCTGCTTTTGCTGGCAAACGCCCTGCCAAGTACTAGCCCTGCCAAGTGATGCTGAGGCAGCAGCGGGGAAGCGATCCGTGTTCCTTCACTGAAGCCACTGATATCAGCTCTGCTATCCATTCATTCTTTCCAAATGCTCCCACACATTTTAACAGAGGAGAGAACAAGTCATTCATTTGCCAAGGCTCAGTTCTTGTTAGCTGCAAATTGGAACGAATATACTCACCATTCACTGCAAACAGGACAAAAGAGGCAGAGGTCCCAGCTGCCTAGGAGAGGGACTGCTGCCCTGTGTCCCTGTCTGCAGTTCCACACACTTGGAGCTCTAGAGCTCGGCTTTAGAAACCTCCCTTCTCAGCTCTTCATGAAAGACAAATGGGAGTGAAGTCACACTCAGCTACAGGAGACTCTTCTTCCTTCCTTCCTTCCTTCCTTCCTTCCTTCCTTCCTTCCTTCCTTTCTTCCTTTCTTTCTCTCCTTCCTTCCTCCCACCTTATCTCCCTCCCTTTCTTCCTCTTTCTTTCTTTCTTTCTTTCTTTCTTTCTTTCTTTCTTTCTTTCTTTCTTTCTTTCTTTCTTAGACAGTATCTCACTCAAAACTTTAGGCCATCTTCTGCCTTGATCTGCCAAATGTTGTGTTTACAAGCATGGACCACCATTCCAGGTTTACAATGTACTTTTCTAAACCTCCCTTTACCTACTCTCCAGCAAATACCCATACAACTCTGGACCATCCCCAAAGCAAAGCTCTTTGTGGTTCCGGATCTTGTAACCACAGTGCGGAGTGTAAAGTCACAGCATGACACTCCACAAGAATTTGAATTAATGCTTTTTTTCAGAGCCATTTCTACCGTCAAAGAGAAAAATATAAAACTAAACACCCACAAAGCAGAAATGCTGTTTTTTTTTCCCCCAGCAGGGAACAAGCAACCCCAGAGGTCTTTCAGAATCAGGGCACTAGGAGGTCAACACACTTGACTTCCATGAGGACCCAACTGTGTGGTTTCTGGGCCTATACCAAGATGGAGGAAGGAGACTTTGCCTCCCCTGGCCTGCTTCAATCTCCCTGAAGTTCCTCTGAGTCCCTCTGGGCCAAGAGCAGGGTGTGGAAGTGGAAGGTGGACTTTGCTAATAAGAGTTCTGTTGGGGGGAACTCAGTATCAGTAGAATCCTGAGTTAGGAGTCCATCAAACATGTAAGTGAATTCTTTCTTATCTTTTTCACTTGAAGTAAACCCAATACAATCCTATGATTCCAACTTTTCCACTAGACAGTAGGAAATCCCCTGGCTCCTTCAGGAGCTGCCAAAACCAGAAACTGTTCCTGAATCACATAAGAAAATGTTCCCAAGTGCTCAGCCATTTTCTTTCCCCAACTAGCAAGAAGAATGAACTCTGACTAAATGTTAAAGAGGAGTTCCATGACATTTTCTGGTGAAGCTGTGTGCCTGGTGATAGTTCACGCTCTCATGCAAACAGCCATTCCCGTGTCGACCCCAGGGCTCTGCATTACCCTGCGTGACTGTCAGAGCAACTAGGGCAGATGAAGAGGGAAAAGCAAACAACAGCCAAGGGACCTGCTACCTTTGGGTTTCTTCAGTTGGAAGCAGGAAGCACCTCAGGGTACCATGCACAGGTTCTCCATTTCTTTCTACTGTGTCCCTGCAAGGTGGAATAGGAGTCTGGGGAGGCCGACAGTCAGAGTGTTTGCTGAGCCATGAGAGACCTTGGGTTCCATCCCCAACAACTGCAAAAATGAACCTACCCATTCTTTTCAAAAGTGAGCTTATTCTTAGACACAGATAACGGCAGAACTCGCATTAAGGGTGTGAATGGTGGGTGGTCCTGATGTAAAGATAAGACAGTAAAAGTCCACTGGTCCTACAAATGAAAGTCTCAATATTCTAAGAGAATATTAAGAAAGGAGACTCTGCGTAGTTGAAATAGCTCAGTTTGGAGAGGATAATGATCTAAAAGTTTCTGGTTAAATCCCAGGGTTTGGAAACCTCTTAATTGACAGCTATAACACCTTTAATATTTATATCTCACATCCTAAAGTATATACTATATAACTATATATACATATATAACTATATATATATATATATAAAACTATAGATTTTACTGTTTTGAAAATTTAGTCAAAGTAACATGTGTTTATCTCATACCTTTGGTTGTTCATCCCACTAAGAACATCTGTAAAGTCTTAGTTGACATAACATGAGCTTTATTTAAAGTATTACTTAAAGTTTTATTTAAACCTAGGATATTGTTAGCTTTAAGGATTAAGAAGTCCAGTGTGCTATATACTGTTGCATTTGGAATTTATTTTTATTTTGATGTTGTGTATGTGTGTAGAAGAGGTGTTTTTATGAGAAGAATTGTGAACAACAACAAACAACTATAAAAAATAATTATACAGTGTCAGCATGTATGGTGAGCTTGGCATTTACAAAGAAGGTTTTTCAATAAGAACACTCTGGGTTTGCACTTTGAGTGAAGTGTGTGGAAAGAATTACTAGCCTTTAGAAGCTACTGGAGTAAGGAAATTTGCTTAACTCACTGAACTTTAAACAGTCCTAAGAATATCTTGAGTTTTCTTGTTGATATTTCTTGAATATGTGCCTTTTTCTAGAAT